GGGAGAGAGATGTCCCGACGCCCGCGCGCCGGCAGAGGTGCCCTGCGCGCCTGCACGCGGGGAACCCCGCCGAAGTGACGCCAGATCCGCCCGGCCGACAGTCCCCGTCCTTGCCCAAAACCACGCGGCGGCGGGTGCGCACGTTCCGGCCCGCGCGCGCGCGGAAAGCGCAGCCCGGGGGGCGCCCGCGAGTGTGCGCCGGGGTGCGGGGCGCGCGCCGGGCGGGGACCCGGGTTCGAGGGGGGACCCCGAGGGGGTGGGACGGGGTGACCGCCGCCGCCGAGGCGCAGAGGGCGCGGGGTGGGGAGGGAGCCCGCCGTCCCTTTCCCAGCTGCGCAGGCCGGGCCCGGGCGCGGCGGGAGCCACTCACCATGTTCACTTCGGAGACCATGTCTATGCTGGCCACATCGATCCGCATGCCGACGTCCACGGGGGGCCCTGCCGGGGGGAGGTGGGACCACACTGAGGACATGCTCTCCGGGTGGCGGCGGGCCGGGCGGGCCGGGCTGCCCAGCCCGGCCGCCCGGCGCACTGGGTGGGTAGGGGGCTGCCGCTCCCCGCGCCCCTGCAGGGGTTCAGCCCGGGCGCACGGGCAGGTGCGGGCACACGCGTGACGCGGTGACTGTGCAGAGGGTGTGTCGGGCCGGGGAAGGTCGGCTCAGCCTGGGGGTGCAGCCCCGCGCCACTGGGGGGTCCTGCGCGCGCGCGCGCGCGTGTGTGCGCGCATGTGTGTGTGTGTTTCCAGGGCGCAGTGCGCGCTTAGAGCATGACATGCCTTTTTTTTCTTTCTTTTTTTTTTTTTTTTTTTTTTTTGGCATTGACCGTTGACAGCAGCCAAGGAGGGCCGGGGACGGGTTACAGGTTGAGCCAAGGGGAAGCGCTGGTCGTTACCTCCGAAGTCCGGCCGCAGGCGGATGTCGTACCCCTTGAGCAGCCGGTCCACCGTCTCTTTCACGTAGGACATGTTGCTGGGCTCGTTGGCGCTGCGGGGAGAGGCGGGAGCCGCGTTCAGAAGCGGCGCGCACTGCGGGCAGACATGCAGGGACACCGGCACACCTACCCCCCCACCCCACCCCCGGGACCAGGCATGCAAAAAAAGGGAAAAAGAGAGAGACACACACACGGAGCAGCAGCGGCGCACCTACCTGTGCGCGCAGCAGGCCATGGCGACCACCACAGGGAAAGACAGGAGCCCCAGACTCTCCCGGTGTTGTCCTGCCCACATCCCTAACTCGGGTGCAAGAATTGTCTTTTTCGGCGAAGATTCAAGGAATGCAACTTAGTCGGCGGCTGGGCAGTGGTTTTCCCCCCCACCCTCCCGAATGGGCCTGCGCATGCGCGGGAGGGTGCTCGCTGCCAAAAGACACCTTGTGCCTTGCAAACAGGATTCCTAGTGGAACAGGCAACAGATTTCAGTCCCTGCAAAGTTCCGATGCGGGCTGCCCCGCAGTCCTGTGCGCGCTCAGAGGCCCACGGGGGACCCCCCCACGCACACACACTGCAGGGCTTCCTACGTGCATGTGCATATAAAGAGTTTCCTTCGTGCAGGAGGGGGGGGCTGCGAGGTGCATCATTTTCTTTCTGCACTCAACCTGATTTTTTTTTTTTTTTCCTCAGGATGTCTAAATTTCTGCTGCCGTACTATTTCTTTTCCCAAGGGGGATAAAAATGGCATTTTGCTCGGCTGCATCTAGCTGGGTGGCTGATTCCAGCAAAGCAACAGGCATTTCTCCTAGCCTTGCAAGAAGCAACAGTTAGAAACTCTGACAACTAGGAAACTGCCACCCACGGTGGGTGGGGAACAGCCAACAGGGAAAAGCGGCAGGTAGGATTTCAATCCGTTTTGCAACTGCCTCAAAAGAGATGAGGGAGACACACAAAAAAAGAAGAAGAAATAAAACAAGAAATAAAAGAATGTTGACCCCTGTGAAATGAAAAGACTGTGCTATTGCTATCGCCCCCTTTCCCTTCCACCGCCCCTTAAATCATCATTACAAGCAGTTTTATTATGTCCTTCTTTATTTTGTTAGTTTTGATGAAATTTCCTAATTATATAATCTCAACTTACTATACCTACAGGTACGGAATGCTTAAATGAAAAGGTGATCGAGTCTATTTAGTACTTCAATACTACTTATATTATCTAAAAATCAAGGAATTTATAGACAATTATCTTATGAGTGGGTAACCATCCAGGTAGTGTTTTTTTTACAGGCTCAATTCTAAATATTCTCTTTTATTTCCATTTCTTGGCGTTATTTCCAATCTTTTCATTTTAATGCTTTGTCCTAGACAGAGGAACGATAAAAAAGCGTCGAGTCCTGTTGTGCCTCTCATTAAAAAGGAAAGACAAGGAAGGAAAGTGAATCAAGTTTATTATATTAACTTTCTGGTTTGTTGTATATTTTCCATCTTCCTTAACCCAGTGGAAATGTAAAGCTATTTGTAGAATATATTTTTCAAGGTTTATCAGTTGAGTGAATAGTTTTTAAAACATTCAGTGTATAACAGGCTGTATTATTCATTCGAGATATTGCGGTGCAATTAAGTTCAATCCCTTTTGCAAGTTATGTATAAATTTCAATTGAACAATGCTCTGGCTTTTTGTGTTTGTGATAACGACTTATTAATTGGTAAAAGCTGAAAGTGATGCCACATACTAACAGAGAACGTGTTTCTTTTTAAATTCTGATGCCAGTTTTGTTCACCAGTACCTGGCAAAGCCACTGTCTTTACCTTCGACTTTTGAATCTTCTCTTTTTATAACTTATCTACTGTGAATGTTTACACGGTCATAATTCATTGAAAGGATATCATGTATTTACTGTAACATGTTAAACTAATTGCTTGTCTCATTTGACCTGTGGTATTTGCAGATGGCAAATTTGTATAGGCACAATATACAATGTGTCGTAATAGTGGTGTTTGTTGCTTTGTGGTATTAGATGTTGTAAAGATCTCATTGTCCAGTCGTTAGAAAAAAATCTTTGTCAGTCAGAAACAGCATTTGTGGGTTGTTTTAAACTTGGGTTCTTGTTTCAGTAACAATCGCAGTTTTAAGCAGTGTTTTAAAGAAGTACCTTAGCGGGGGTTCATAAAAAATACGAAATTTGACAGTCATTATCTTTTGTATCCAATCCTAATTGCATATGTACCTGAATACTACTTTATTTCTTCCCTGATATAAGCCAAAAAAAAAGAGAGGAGAGAGAAGAAAATTCTTAAAAACATAGCATATTGAATAAAAGCACACTAAGATGAGTGGACATTCAATAGCCTCTTTATCAGCTAGTAGATGATAGAATTCAAAGGTTATATACTCTTTAAATTCTTTTTTTTTTTTTTTTTTTCCTTTCTCAGCCTCATCCAGATGGCATAACACTGTAACCCAGCACCTAAAAGAAAGACCTGGGTGATTACTCACGTAAGGGAAAAGCGTATTCATGTCTTTATTTAACTGCTGGTATCTGTTCCTGCCTTTAAATGGCACTGACCTATTTGCTCTGTTTGCAGAGGAAATTCTATCATAACCTCCGAGAATTCACTGACAGCAGCGAGAGTATGTTTAGGCTATTTTGCAAAGCCATTGCCAGCTCCTCGGTTGGGGGGAAAACTGTTTGCAACATTCTCTTTTCCGAAGAAGAAAAGTCATAGGTGTTCTACAAAGCAACAGGACGGCATTGTTGAGTTGGCTGCGCTCGGTAACATTTTCATAGCCATCATTTAGGGCTGGCTGATTCGTGGGCAGTGACACAGTTGGGGAGACTGGCTGCTGGTTTAGGTTAAGCCCCATCTTCCAGGCCCTTCTTGCCTTCGTCCTGTTGCTCGTCACCAATTATCGAACCGATCTTCCGTTAGAGCACAGCCACCTCTGCTCAACAAGCTGGAAATGAACTCGAAACTTAATTTGGAATCAAGTTTCCAGACAATACCATTATTTGGAAGAATGCCATTCCTAGAGAAACTTCAGAGAAAAAAAAACAACATACTCATTTCTTAAGGAAACTAGATCTTAGAATAATATACTGTAAGCTCCATACTCAAAGGGCTGTCTACACACCAGCCGCCAGCATTGCCGGGGAGGAAAACAGAGTGCCAGGCCCCCAGCCCGCACCTGTGACTTGGAATTTGCGTTTTTTAACACGATCCCAGAGTGACTCGGGTACACGTTGAAGGTTGGGGAGCACTGACTTAGAGAAATGGCTGTGGGGAGCAGGATTCTAACACGTCATCACTGTGTTGAGTGACCACAGTGACGGAAATCAGGCAATAACTGGAGTGGGTGCCAGAAACTTCCAGGATCAAATACTAACTCTTTGCACTCGGATGTCGAGATGTCAAGGGTGACTCGACACGGTTAGCAAAAATCACAGAGATTAAAATTACTCTTTGAATGTATCAATAATCTGAAACATAAAAAAACAAATCCAAATAAATAAGTTCCTATGGAAAGAAACTCCAGTTTTTTTTTTATTCTACTGCCGCGCTTTGTAAAACCTGGGGTATTTAAAAAAAAATTAAATCCCGAGTAGAATAAAGGAATCGAGAAAGAAAGCAAGCGAGCGCAAAGGGTTAAAAATAACAATGGTGGAATTTAAGTGGACATTTGGTAAATTAAATTCGTTTTTCTTGGTAAAAGAAAAATAGGTAAGAAAAGAAAAATGTGTAAAATAGGCCCATTTTAGTTTTTGTCGTCCTTGCTGTTAACTGTGATGCCCATAAGAGCATCCGCCGTTGGCACCATGTGTACAATAAGGAAGGAAAGAAACAAACGCATGGCCGTCTTCCCATACTGGGAATGGCTTGGCATGAGCTCACGCTTAGTGTCAGGACTCAGTGCATGTAAAGACCTCTAGGGTTGGTCGCTGGGGCCACTGTGTCTTGACATCAGGGACAGACAGCTGTGTGGTTGGAACTCCCCCTCGATGATCAGGATCCAATGCCTCTTGGATCAGAAGGAAAAGCTAGTCGTTGGAATTGGAAGTACAAGAGTTCAACTAGTTGTCTTCAGGTAGTTAGTGTCGTGTCTTCCCAAACTGCTGCTCGCACAGAACTGGCCCACGACTGTATGGGTTTTACGGGTTTATAGTAGCAGATGTTAGTGGTCACTTTGATGGCAATTTCTGGGAGCTTTTGTCTCTCTTGTTTCCTCCAACTGCCTCCTGTTCATCTTTAGTCAGTCGTGTGTGTGTGTGTGTGTGTGTGTGTGTGTGTGTGTGTGTGTGTATGGCTTGGTAGAAACTGATAAAAGAGAAGGCTTGAAGGGTTTAATATACAAGAAATCGAAATCATGGTTGTTTTCTAAGATGACAGTTTAGAAAATAACTGTATGTTGTTGTTATCACATGCACCCTGTATCCCACGATGCCAGAAGAAAACTCATTCCTAATGTAATCAATAATATTCCTTCCTGAAAAGAAAGGTCTTGCTCTCAAGTATTTATTTTTCTGCAACAGAATTATTCTTCAGAGTTTTTTTGCATTTGCTGCTCAGAACCAGTGATTCTTGATTGTAGAGATTCTTGAATATGAATTCTTTTTCTTTCTTAATCTGGGAAAAATGTTTTATATCCTGGAGGACATGAATTAGAAAATACTCCTGATGTGATGTTAGTCTTTAAAACATACAAATGTTATAAACCGATCTGTATTTTACTTAGAAAAGCAAAGAAAAAAAATAGAATCTATTTTTCAAATCCATTGTGATAACGCACAATTATTGTGTCATTTTCTCCAGCCATGGAATGGGTAATACTGTCAATGAATATAAATGTAAACATGAGCAATATTTTAGTAATGGATTTAACTTGTATTTTCTTAAAAGCTAGTTTTATTAATGTCCATTCTTATTTTTTGTTAGTTTTGATGAAAATTTCCTATTATATAATCTCAAAACTTACTATCTTACAGGGTATTGAAACATGCTTAAAATGAAAAGCGATGAGTCCTATTTACAGTGCACTTTCAATCCTACTTATATTATCTAAAAAATCAAAGCATATTATAGACAATTATCTTATGAACGGGTAACCATCCAGGTAGTGTTTTTATACAGAGCCCTCAATTCTAAAAATATTCCTCTTTATTTCCATTTTTCTTGGCGTTATTTCCAAATCTTTTCATTTTAATGCTTTGTCATAGACGAGAGAAGATAAAACAAGCGTCGAGTCCTGTTGGTACCTCTCATTAAAAAGGAGAAACAAAAGAGAATAAGTGAATCAAGGTTTATTATATTTCAACTTTCAGTGGTTTGTTTATATTTTCCCATCATGTCTCTAACACCAGTGCGGAAATGTAATAGGTATTTTAGTAGAATATATTTTTCAAAGGTTTATCAGTTGAGTGAATATGTTTTAAAAATCAAGTGTATAAACAGGCTGTATTATTCAATGTTCAGGAAGAAATATCTAGCGGTGTTGCAATTAAAGTCAATCCCTTTTGCAAGCT